ATAGTGTCCACCTCACTCCAACAGGTTTCCCTCTTGGTGTTCAGTCAGTCGTCACCGATCAGGGAGAACATATGGTATTTGTCCCTTTGGGACTGGCTTATTTCACTCAGCATGATGTGTTCCAGATTCCTCCATTTTGTTGCAAATGACTGGATTTCGTTGTTTCTTACTGCGGTATAGTATTCTAAAGAGTACATATCCCATAATTTCTTTATCCAGTCTATCGTTGATGGGCATTTAGGTTGGTTCCAGGTCTTAGCTATTGTGAATTGAGCTGCAATAAACATTAGGGTGCAGACCTCTTTTTTGTTTGCCAATTTAAATTCCTTTGGGTAAATTCCAAGGAGTGTGATGGCTGGGTCGAACGGTAATGTTCTTACCATATTTTTGAGATCCGCTTCTTGCATTGCTTCTATCTCATCATCTTCATAATCTTGAATTGGGGTGTCTTTTTCATTTGGGGGCGTCATAGTGTCTTTCTTGTTCTTGTTACCTCGGTTTTTGTGTTTGTTGTTTGGTATATTGGAGATATTCTTTGGTTTCTTCGCTGTGGTGTTTTTTCTTTTTATACTATGACTCTAGATTAAGTGGACTGTCTGCTTTTGATGGATCCTTAGAGGCTGTGATGGGTGTGGCCAGAGAGCTCTGTTTGGTTCTTCAGGGTTAAGAGTGTGTCAAAGGTGACTCACCCAGGTTGCGCGCGCTCTCTCTCTCTCTCTCTCTCTCTTTTTTTTTGATTCAGAAGGGAAGTAATTCCACGCAGCTGAGTGGAATTGAGGGTAGTTGATGTATGAAATCCGGCCCCTGTAGGTATTCACCTGCTCTCTCTATTCCAGGGACCACACAAAGGGTTTATGCAGCCCTCAGTGTGGTCTCAAATTTCTCCGCAGTCTCTCACCGGGTTGCCAAGGTTACCGAGTTTGTGTACTCGGTGAGTTCTCTCACCCACCCTCAGATTTTCACAATCTCAGTTCGTTAGCTCCACACTTTCACTAGGTCCTAACCTCCTGTTATTTCTCCCCACAAGAGTCAGGTTTTTCTGCTTGATTTATAGTGGGCGCCGCTTCAAATGTTCAAAATGTTCAAATGTTCAAAATGGCGCCTGCTCTTTGTCTTGCTCGGCTTTGTAAGGTGAGTGGAGAGAGAGGCTAGTGTCCATGCCGGTTCCCCTTATTTATTCGTTTTTTTCTCTCCTCCAGTCAGCCTGGTGAGCTTTCCCCAGTAGGGCTTTCGTTCCCTCTAGGCTCTGTCTGCCTTTCCCCGCCAGTGTCTCAGGTTACCGAGGTTTTTGTCTCACCTCCCCTTCCAGGGCTGGCGCGCAGACTCTGCAGCTGTCCTCCGTGCTGTGGGCATCCTTGCTCTCCCCGTAGGTCCTCCATGTCACATCCACTAGATCCGGGAGAGTTTCCTCTGTAATTTTTTCCTGAGCCTTTTCCTGAGACTACAGTAACTCCACTTTTATTAAACTGTCTTTTCCCAGACTATCAGTGCACACCCTCACTATTCCGCCATATTGGCTCTGCCCTATTAAACCTAATTATTAGATTGCTTCCAGTTTTTCACTGTTGCATACAGAGTATTACCAAAATGAAAACCCTATGTTTTTGTAGAAAGTTTCTTTGAGGTATCTCTATAGAAGAGGAATTGAGGGTTCATAGAGTCTGTGTGTTTCAGTTTTATCCATCATTGCCAAAGCCAGCCATACCAATTTACACTCTCTAGTATGTCATGTAGTTTCCATTTCCCAGCAACCTCGTTAGCAGGTGATGCTGTTAGATTTGCCTACCTGAGGTATAAGAAATAGGTTGTTGAATTGGTGAAAATTTTTAACAGCTTTATTGATGTAATTCACATATTGAACAATTCATCCTTTTAAACTATACAGTCCTGGACCCAGCATTGTAGTGTAGTTGGTAAAGCCACCACCTTTAAATCCAGCACCCCATATAGATGCTGGTTTGCATCCCAGCTGTTCCGCTTCTAATCCAGTTCCCTGCTAATGGCCTGGGAAAAGCAATGGAAGTTGGACAAAGTCTTTGGGCTCCTGCCAACCATGTGGGAGACCTCTGTGAAGCTCCTGGCTTTGGCCGGTCCTTCGCTGGCCATTACGGCCATCTGGGGAGTGAATCAGTGTGCAGAAGACTCTCTCTCTCCCTCCCTCTCCCCCTCTCTCCCTCCCTCTCTCCCCCCTCCCTCTCTTCCCCCCTCCCCCTCTCTCCCTCCCTCTCTCCCCCCTCCCTCCCTCCCTCTTTCTCTCTCTCTCCATCTCTCTATCTCTCCCTTTGTCTCTGTAACTATGAGTTTCTTTTTATTTTTAAGATTTACTTATTTATTTGAAAGTCAGAATTACACAGAGAGAGGAGAGGCAAAGAGAGAGTGAGTTCTTCCATCCGTTGGTTTACTCCCCAGTTGGCCGCAACAGCCAGAGCTGCATCGATCTGAAGCCAGGAGCTTCTACCATGTCTCCCACACGGGTGCAGGGGCCCAAGGACTTGGGCCATCTTCTACTGCTTTCCCAGACCACAGCAGAGAGCTGGATGAGAAGTGGAGCAGCCAGGACTCGACCCAGTACCCATATGGGACGCCGGCACTACAGGCAGTAGCTTTACTTGCTACACCACAGTGCCGGCCCCTCTGACTTTCAAATAGCCAAATTTTTTTCAAATATGTACAATCCATTGGTTTTTGCAACCATCATCATCAAGGATATGTAACCATCACCACTAATTTTAAAAGAAAACTTTTACCCACTAGCATTATCCCCAAGACAGCCCATGGCATTGCTAATCTACTCTCTACCTTTATCAATTTTATCAAATTATCAAATAAATGAAATCCTTCAATATATATTTTTATGACCAGCCTCTATCACTTAGCATGTTTTGGGGATTCATCCATATTGTAGCAGGTATCAGCATTTCATTCCTTTTTATGACCCAATAATACTCTATTGTCTAAATGTATCACATTTTGTTCATTCATTCATCAACTGAAAGAAATTTGGGTTGTTGCTACTCATGGCTATTAAGATTAATGCTACTATATGCATTCTTAATATTTAAATAGTTTCAGTTTAATGATTATGCACATAGAAGAACACATTGGAATGTTCATGGAAATGGAATATAGAGAAGTTTATTTTGGTGCAAAATGTTTAGAAATCTGTGAATAGTTTTTTTTCATGATACACGTTTTCCATGAACTTTTTAAAAATCCTTATGTGTAGATTTCAAAATGATTTTTGGCAAAATAAACTTATCTTTGTATTCCATTTTTCTGTGACTTTTCAAAGATACTTTTATATCTTTAAACTTAGCAATACAATTGCTAGATCATATGGGAATAACTCAATGTTTAACTTTTTGAAAAACTGCCAAGCTATTTTTCCAAAATGACTGCACCATTCTTCCACCGCATTAGCAGTGTGTAAGACTTCCATTTTCTCTACATACACTTGGTATTGTTCTTTTTTATTTTAGCCATCATAGTGAATGGATTCACATTACATTCCCCTGATGATAAATAAGGTTAAGCATCTTCTCATGTGCTCTTGATCATTTGTATTTCATCCTTGAAGAAATTTCTATTCAAATCCTTTGCCCATTTGAGGGTACAGGAGTCTAATTTGTCTTCTTATGTAAGTTGTAAGAGTTCTTCATATGTTTTACATACAAGTCTCTTATAAATGCTTTTCAGGATTTTTTTTTCCATTCTTAGGTTTTCTTTTCATTTAATTGATGTAAATTGGTAGATTTTTTGTGTTTTGGCAAAACTTCAATTTTCACAATTGTCTTAATGTTACTTGGTGAGTGAATCACAAGCCAGAGTGCATTGACATGGCAGCGCTATGTGCACATAATGTTATATTCATCCAAATCTACTGCACTGCTCACAAAAATGCAGACTTCCCCAGGTCATATAGGTGAGCTTCTTGGATAGTGAAGAAAACTTAGTAGTTTTAGGAGCTGGAGGATCTGAGAATGCTGGACATGGAGCTCAGCTGCTGGAGGGAGGGAGGGGGAACAGGAATGCACCTTGAAGCCCTTGTTGCCTGCTCTGGGAGGAGTGTTAGGGGAGTTCCCACATCCTTGTGAAGATGACAGATGATGTAGTTTGTAAATGTACCAAAGATCAAAATAAGGGACCTTACTTCAATGCCCTTGTTTATTTAGAAAACAAACAGCAAATTGGAAAAGTAGATGAAATATTTGGACAACTTAGAGATTTTATTTTTCAGTTAAATTGTCAGAAAACATAAAGGCATCTTCCTTAAAAAAAAAATTACAGAAGTTGTATTTAGACCCTTTATATTGCCACTGCAGAGCTTTTTACCTTGACCTCCATGTGAGAAAGCACCTCCAGGAGGCAGTGGCAGGGGAGGTTGAGGAGGAGAAAGGGGTGGAGCTGGCAGAGTTGGTGGCCTGAGGGGTGGAAAAGGTGGTAGAGACAGGAGCTTCACAGGGCGGGGGGGATGGTTTCCAAGAGAGAAGACATTAGATGTAGTGGTGGGCAGACTTCAACAGTTGATTTCTGCGTTAATCTGCATGATCTACTTGTGCTATGAGTTGAAAATTTGTTTCTTGAGCAAGCCTTGAAGATATTGACATTTTGTGACATTGCAACTAAGATATCAACTTTATGCAAAAATGAGTGCAACGGAGCAGTTAATCCCACTCTAAAAGAGCATGAGCAATGGTTCAGTGTCTTGTACAGTGCCTGGCACTCTGTGGGTGCTTAATAAATGCACAGGAGTCTTCATCTGAAATATATTTGAATTTAAAATAAAGCAATTTATTTCTTTAAAAACTTAGTGTTGATAAAAGTGCAGGAGAAGCTTTTATACCTAATTAGAGTTTAGTGATGAGAAGCATTGAAAAGGCATTCCTAGATTCTCAAACTGTTAATTGGTTATTCCAAAAGCATGCAGATTTTATGTAATATGACCTCTTCCCTTTTTCTCTTTCTCCTCTCCCCCTCCCCACTCCCTGTTTCTATTTTAGACTGAAAATGGCTCAGGCATCTGTCAGCAAGTTGACATCGGAGAAGAAAGTGGAGACAAAGAAAATCAACCCCACTGCTAGTCTGGTGAGATGTGCTTTATAACATAGACCCTCCAGATTTTTCATGATATGTATTTCATTATAACTAAGATGTACCCAGGAGTGTGTCTAAATTTAAAGCTTAAAAGTCATACATTAAATGTAGTATCCAGATTCTCAGTTCCCACCCCAGAGTAGCATCAGTGTGTGTGTGTGTGTGTGTGTGTGTGTTTTCCCTGAAGATTCAACAAAGTTCATTTCTTTTTTTTTTTTTTTTTTTAACTTTTATTTAATGAATATAAATTTCCAAAGTACAGCTTATGGATTACAATGGCTCCCCCCCCATAACGTTCCTTCCACCTGCAATCCTCCCCTTTCCCACTCCCTCTCCACTTCCATTCACATCAAGATTCATTTTCAATTCTCTTCATATACAGAAGATCAGTTTAGTATATATTAAGTAAAGATTTCAACAGTTTGCTCCCACACAGAAACACAAAGTGAAAAATACTGTTTGAGTACTAGTTATAGCATTAAATAACAATGTACAGCACATTAAGGACAGAGATCCTACATGAGGAGTAAGTGCACAGTGACTCCTGTTGTTGACTTCACAAATTGACACTTAACTACTTATCATTTTGAAAGGCAGTGAAACACAAAGAGACATGTGCACAAGAGATATTCTGTTTTCTGGTTCGTGCCTCAACCACTCATCTGGCTCTCCCTCATGGGTGGCAGGGATTAAAATAACTGATCTACCTGCTGCCTCTTCGAGTACACATTAGTAGAAACCTAAAATCAGAAGCAGAGCCAGGACTCCAACCAAGACACTCCAATATGGGATGTGGCATATCAAGTGGTTTCTTAACCACAGTATCAAACGCTCATCCCAATTTGTGAGTAAGAGCAGACCTTCTTTTTGAGTCTACTTAGAAGTTGGAGAGATGACATTGAAGGTCTGCTCTTACTCAAAAGTTCATTTCTGATAAGCCTAGTCTAGTCCCTTGCCCTTCCACATCCACCACCATTCCTTTCAAAGTACCTTTCTCCTGACATGTTTAAGTGCTTCATCCTCATCAGTCTGTTTTCCCTGCTAAAGATGAAGGCAAGGATCATCCTAGTTTGATACTTGGGAAAATGGAGATGCAGGAAGATACAGCTCACTTGGGATCATTTGACAAATGGCTAACAACACTCTGGACCACACTCTGGGTTCCCTGGCATGTCTCCCTAGGCTGGAAATGAGAAGTCTACTCTGTCTTCCTAGGTTTGAGAGAAAGTTGTCTTCCAAAGTCTAGTTTTCATAGAGATCACAAATATGTTACAGACTAGCCAAAGGATTAGGAACCCAGGAGGTTGGGGATGAGACTGGCTTCAAATCCCAGCCCTGCCACTTAATGTTTATAAAACCTTAGTAAAGTTAAATTACTTCTTTCTCTTCAGTGAAAAGAGGAAAATAATATTACCTTTGCTTTAGGATCATTTTGAGGAAACTTAGAAAACACATATAAATTGTCTACCATATAATAAGAACTCAAGAATTATTAGCTCTTGTTGTTATGAATTTCGGCAGCTTTGGTTGACCTTGAAAGTAGGGACAACTCCCCACTGGTTTTTAATCCTTGCCTTCTCTGGGCCCTGAGTTCCCACAGCTACTTATTTTATCCTCTCACCTTACGAATACTTTTTACTGGCTGCCATTAGATCCATATGGAGTCTAACTTATAAAGTAGGATTATTTCTGTCGATTGACTTTGGTATTTTTCATAACAACCTCATCAACTCATTCAGGGCCAGACAACTGGTTGGTTAAGGCTGTGGCTAGTATTCGTAGCCTAAATCTGAATGGATACATGCTGTGGGCTCATTTGAAGGTGCATTTATTACAGCAATTCATATTTTCACTGGCAGTGGTCTCAGCCCTAATTTTTAGCCTCCTCCTTCACTGACCTCTATTCCTTTCTCACGGCCTCTTATTTGGACCGTTATCCTGACCTCCATAACTAAATCTGTTCTCTCCAAGCAAAGAGCAGGGTGAGTCCTGTAGACAAAGGAGCAACAGTGGGTTTACTGTGGCATCTTTTATAGGTTGATTTTTACCGTGAGCAAGCTCCTAGTTGTTCTCTTTAACTCGTTAGGGTTGTTTGTTTTATTGTCTGTGTAGGGGCGTGGAAACTTAAAACTAAGTCCTGATTAAGTTTCACAAGTCAAGGATGGGTGCAAAACTCAGAACGATGTCTAAAATGATCAACTTAGGTTTACATCTAGGCCAGTTTTAGTAACTCACTGCACTATCACATCTGACAGGTCATCAGCAGATGAGGATCTGTTCTCAGTGGGCTTTCTCTGCATTTCTCTTTGCAGAGGAAGGCCACTTTCCCATTTCCTTTCTTAGCCTCTTATTGGCACTCCCAGGGGACCAGACACAGCCCTTGTCATACCACTACATTTTCTTTTCTGGAGTCACAGACCCAGTGAGGGCCTATGTTTCTGTTTGGTGTGCTTCCATTTGTTTTATTTTTTATTTATTTTAATTTTTTTGACAGGCAGAGTGGACAGTGAGAGAGAGAGAGACAGAGAGAAAGGTCTTCCTTTGCCGTTGGTTCACCCTCCAATGGCTGCCGCAGCCGGCGCGCTGCGGCCAGCACACCGCGCTGATCTGATGGCAGGAGCCAGGTGCTTCTCCTGGTCTCCCATGGGGTGCAGGGCCCAAGGGCTTGGGTCATCCTCCACTGCACTCCCGGGTCACAGCAGAGAGCTGGCCTGGAAGAGGGACAACCGGGACAGAATCCGGCACCCCAACCAGGACTAGAACCCGGTCCGGTGCCGCAAGGCGGAGGATTAGCCTAGTGAGCCGCGGCGCCGGCCTGCTTCCATTTATTTTTACACCTTCCCAGCAGGCTTCCTTGCCCTTCTGCTTTAGAAGGCTCTCCCTGAAAAGGAAGCTCAAAGCAGAGCAGAGCATCTATGGGGAGATGGGAGCTTCTGCCGTTCTGCACAGGGGAAGCTCTTCCCCTTCCATGCACATGGCCTTTGTTTTGTTCTGCCAGGTAACTCATTTGCAGGTGCATGTAACTTGGAAACAGAGAAAAAGAGAGAGAGGGAAATATCTTCCATCCTCTGGTTTACTCCTTACTTACAGCCATGGCTAGGAAGGACAAAGCCAGGAGCCAAGAACTCCATCCAAATCTCCCAATTGGGTGTCAGGAATCCTTCTCCTTGAGCCATGATTTGCTGCCTCCCAAGGTGTTCAAGAACCTGAACTGAAAATGGAATAGCCAGGATTGAAACCCAGGCTCTCCAAAATATGTGGATGTCTCAAATGGCAATTTAACTTACATACAAAACCCACCGCTGATTTTTTTTTTTCATGTCTCTGATCCCTGAAAATTATTTCTTGAGCATCCCCTAATTCCATCGGTGGGCTGAGCATAGGGGTGGGAAGAGTCTTAAAGTTCAATACAAAATCAGGGTCATTGTCACGAAAGAGGAGAACAGAGCTGAGCAGCCTGGCATGGTAAAGATCCACATTCTAGATAGATGTAGTCAGATGATCTTTTGCTAAATTATTTGTTTTTATTTAAGAGGTACAGAGGTACACAGAGAGAATGCTTATCTACTGGATGACTTCCCCAAATGCCCACGATGGACAGGAAGTCAAAGCCAGGAGCTGGGGACTCAGTCCAGGTTTCTCACGTGGGTAGCAGGAGCTCAATCATTTGAGACATCACCACTGCCTCCCAGGGTCTGCATTCATAGGAAGCTGGAGTCAGGAGCTGGGGCTGGGAATTGAACCCAGGCACTCAGATGTGGGATATGGACATTTTAAATGGTGCCTTAACCACTAGGCCAAATGTCTGCCTCTGGTTGTTCTTTTCTTACATGTTCGGTTTTTGGTGAGTAATGATAACAATTTGGGAGAGGCAGATAAGTGTTTAGGGAAAGAAGGATTGAGATACGCTCATTTCTCAGGTTCTTGGTATAATCTTACTCAGCATGCTAGGCCAAAATTTGAAAAAGATAAAAATGAGAAAAATAATAATAAATTCATTTTTTTTCCCTAACAGAAAGAAAGGCTGCGCCAGAAGGAAGCCAGTGTGACCACCAACTAAAGTGGGGACGCGCAAGACACAGTAACAGTGGAGATGTACCTTGTGTGCTCCTTTCTGACCCTAGTGCTGAGGGAGTTCCTGGAAGATATGCTACTAAATGTGTGTTTTGCTCATGTCTTTCTGAGGTCCTCTGCACAGAGCGCCCTGTGCCTTCCTATGAAGTCCCTTATGAAGCCACAAAAACAATGAAAAGCTACTTAAGGGAACATTTCAGGTGTATTTGATAATTGTTACTTGTAGCAGTCTAAAGTCCACTCCCTTATAAGACCTGAAGACATACTAAAATTTTCTAAATGTTTTTAAAAGCTGAGAATTCAAGCTGTCAAACTCAAGATTCATACATGTAACCTTGTCCCAAAACAGGAGAAAGATCTTTTCTGACAGTTGCCTTGACATAATTTAAGCTCCATCTTTACACACTTCTCTTTTGATTATTGGTCTGCAGCATTTTTCTCACCAATAATGTTGAAATTTATCCACCCTGTTTTTGAAGAGGTGCAAGACTATGTATTCCCAGACTAGGGAGCTGATTTGTTGTCTATGCAGCAGGAAGGAGAGAAAACAGCATTATACATGGGTGGAAAGGGAATAAATCAGTGTAAACTTCATCCTGGAAAACAAATTATAATACAGGGCATTGGCTTCAAGCCATTACAAGCCATTAGGCAAGGCTCCTTCAGTTGTTATATCTGCTCTTTTTGGTTTCCTGGGTCAGCCGAGGTTCAGCACCCCAGGTCCTGGAAGAAACTGTACAACTTGAGGAGGGACAGCTTTGGGGTCAAAGCACCTGCTTGGACAAGCCACCCACATTTGGGAACACTTGTGAACAAGTGACAATATGTTGACAGACAGTCACATTCTACATCACGGGCTGCAACTGTGTGCTAGTTTCCAGACAGAAGAGCAAATACTCCTCGCAGCCTTTTATCATGACCTTGGCTGACAGGCAAGTGAAGTCGGGTAAAGCAGGGATCTTTGATGTCAAAAAAAAAATGCAGAAGAAAAGTTCTTTTCATCAAAATGAAAGCAAGATGATTATATTACTAATAAACTTTGCGAGGAATATCATGTATAGATGGCTTTCTCTGACCCTGGCCCTTGAATCTTAGAACGAACCCCTTTGGGCCTCTCTCTGACATTTTTTCTTTTAAGCCACTACTCTTTGAATCTGTCTTTTGAGGGGGAAGAAAGAGGACTAGGGAAGAATTGGGAATAAAACCAATGACTGTCATTTCTAGACCTTGAAGGAAGAAAGGCCCAAGCTCACCCTTCCAACTGTGGGACAGTCTAGAGGTGAGCAAGAATCATCTTAAGTGTCCCTGTGTGCCATGTGTGGCCTGCCCTTTGCCCCAGCATCCCCTTTGCCCTAGCATCTTTCCAGAACTTCTGAACTTGGCAGCTGCCCGCGTGTCTGCCCAGAATGTGCCTGCCTGTCATCAGCCACCTCAGGGACACTCCCATGATAGATTCCGCTAACAAAGGCAGTGCTGCATCCTCACGTTAACACCAGCCTCGGGAATCAAGAATGCGTGGTGAGGATCAAATCAAGTCACAGAAGCCATAACCATGCAGGTGCTAATGGCCTTTCCTAGTGGTTCTGAAGAAAGGAAAATGGCAACTTGGTTGGATTTTGCAATTCAAAGTGAAGGACTGAGACAAGCAAATTAGAAAAGGAACTTATCATGATTAAGAAGGCTTGAAGCTGTGGGTGAGCAACAAAGCTTTTCAAACTGCTTTCTTATTTGGTTTGTCTTCATTTTCATTTCACTGTGAAGAAAGCCAAGGGAACTCATCACTTTAAAACAGATTCCACTTAGAGCCATCCTGTGCTCTGTGATGTTCCTTCTAATCCCGTCATAGAGAAGAAAAGTGGCAGTTTTGCCCATGCCGTGGAAATCAGCTCTGGGTTCAGTGAGGCCTACATAAGACCAGGTCGCTATGAATCCCTATAGACTTGAAGGAAGGGAGCAGGAGGCGATTTTCAGCGGTGCCACTGTGGCCCGCTTCAGGTCTCAAAGTAGGAGACCCATGGGAAAATCCCTGAAGGTAGGCAGGACTGGCGCTGTGGACACATAGCTTTTCAAGGCACCCTCTTAAGGGACAGTGCTGAAGAGTAATGAATGAAAGCGTTTGAGAGGGAGATAAATGGAGCATACGTTGGATTTCAGCAGAGTGAACACTAAAATGCATGGAAGAATACCTGTTTCCCAAGAGCAAGAATTGCCTCTATTGGGGAAACCTAGTGATTTTCTAATGAATGCCAGTCAGGTGTGTCACATCAGTGTTTTAAGGCGCTATGGTAAAATCTCCAACATTCTCTCCTAGTTTGAAGCCTGCATTATTTCTCTTGGCTACCCACTCCCAGTACACCACAGTGATGTCACGACCCTTATTTTCAACTTAAGTTGATATTCAGTAAAGGTTAAAGGGAGTTTGTTCACAGTAGTCCCTCTAAAACAATGTGGAGGTGTTTAAAATGATCCCTCTACAATGCATCTGAGGGTGCATTAAATGGAACAGGTATGCTAAAGCTTGTCAGGGTATAAAGTTCTGGAATAGTACTTAGCAACTTGAGCACTGGAGGTAAGCTGGGTTCAAGTAGCTGTTCTAGGCATAACTCTCCCTGAGCTAGAAAGAAGAGTGGCCAGGATTTGCTCTCCTGTGTTTAATCAGACACTTACACCTAACTTACTACTAAGACCAGAAGAAAACTTGAATTTACAAACAGCTCTGTCTCTTACCCACCAAGATTCCCCAAATCTGAGGACACAGTTTGATGGCATTTCAGATTTTTTTCATGAGCAATGGAATAATTCTTGAGCACACATTGATATCATATATTACATTAAAACATTATGTAAAAAGCATCAGACCTATGAGTTGTCAAAAAGATCAGGAAGTGTACTATTTGGATTTTTACATGAGAAGAGGCAGTTACTTGGAAAAGAAGTGAGAAAAGTATGGCCAAGCAGAAGAGGACATATGTGATGGTGGAGATTTGGGGGCCACAGCTGATGGTCTTGCTGCCCTGCCTTTTGAATCCTTAAGTTGCTTTCTGTGATGTATTTTCACACACTCAATGCAACTATCTATGAATTATGGAGACAGAATTTCTAAAATCCAAGAAGTAGAATCAGGAAATTCATTGGTGCTTTAAATGTTCTAGGCCAAAACAAATTGCCAATGTGGTTGAAGAATTTTATGTCAGATTGGGTACTGGGCTTCTGGGAAAGACAGCAGAAGCTGCAGACCTGCTGAGCCTCCTGTAGGCACCTCCTTGTTTTATACACACTAGAAGGAATGGCACTTCCTAAATGAAAACCTCATATGCTGCTGGTGGAGAAAAGAAAAATTGAAGGGAGGAATAAGACATGTTGGTGTATTTGATACCTCTAGGAGAATTAAGAGGTCATTGGTACAGTAGGAAGGCCACAGTAGGAAGTAGCATAAGATATAGAAATTTATTTTTGGGCAAAGATTTGCCTTTAGCTTGGGGTTGCACATCTTCCTATAGATTATGCTGCATGAAACAGGGAAGTTCTTAATTTTAGTTATATTCTTTCTTGAAGTGATAGATTCACATTTGCATGCTAGTGTCATTGATGGGGATCATTGCATACAGCAGCACAGCAAACCACCCCTCAACAGTGTATGAAGGGACCTGCAGACCATTGCTCCCAGCAACCAGGCTGTGACATTGATGGCAACGTCTTCCTTCCCTGACATCCTGAATCAGTCCATTTTGCAGTACTTGCTCCCCACTCCCTCCATAAAACCAATTTGGAGCTTTAGGTGCAAAAAGAGGGGAAAAATCCAAGAAGTATAGTCTTCTCCCTCCAAGTGTCTGATCCAAATATATAATGTCCCAAAATATTGCTTAAAAATTGCCAGCAAGAAGTATCTGCTGGACTTGAACTTCACTTTTATTTTATCCTGCCTACCCTATTCGGTAAGGTTAGTAGAAAGGTGAGTAGAAAAAGGGAAAGCTTCTGCAGATTTGGTATAATGTACAATCAGTGTATTAGTTCATGAATCACAAGAAAATGGACAGACCATGAAGTCCAATGTTGTAGAAGTCCTAAGCACCTAAGAATTTGAACAGCTGTGGTGACTGATGGATGCAGACAAAGGAAGCACTTCTTAGTGCCTGCTTGACCAGGCAATTTAAAACTGCCACACAAGAAAAGTGGTGTGATACAGTGAGAGAAATGCTAGACCACTAGAGAGTCCTTTCTCTGGGTCCTCTTAAGAGCAGTTTATATGAGTAGCACACCCAAAAGACCCTGAGTCCCACATTTCCTATGTGCCTTATTTTACCTCTGGGGACCCTGCCTCCAAAGAGAGAAGACAGTAAAGAAACAAACTGTCATTCATTTCTGCCACTTCGTCCTCATAAAGAAATCTTTAACATAGGTCAAACAGACTGTTAGGGTTTGGAAAGAATTGATAGTTTTTAGCCTTTTAAACATGCAAATAACTTGCTAGATATATTTGCCTTTTCCAGCTACAAACAACCCAGGTGCTGGAAACTGCTGTTGATGCAAAAGTGGCTTCAAGAAACTGGACTCAGCGGAACTTTCTCCTTTAGGCTTATACACCATTATTCTTAATTTCATTTAAAATTGATCCCAGGCATAAGCAGGCCCAGATACATAACTGTATGTGACCAAGAGGCTCATCTTGTGCCATTTCTGCATGCCCATCAGCTGTTGACACATTTTTAGAGTCACTGAATTTTAGTTTCACAATTCTTCATGACCCTTTCAAAGGATTGGGCAATCTACTGAACTCTCCCAGATCAACACTTTGCAGGGAAGTAGTGGATTTAAGACAGTTTTAACCTATCAAACCTGAAGCCAACTCAGTAGCCTTATTTGTTCCAAGACTCTTTACCAATATTGTGATATAAATTTAGCATTTGGGAAGTTTGTGTAGTTAACAACTTTCATGGAAACAAAGATACTAAAATGGTAGGTAGGTTACTCTCTCAAGCCACCATGTGGTTTCCACCAGCAAATAATTTATTAGGGAAACAAATCAAGCCTCATTAAGCAAGTGGGCATTCCTCAAAGGGGAGTTTTTTGGACTTATTTCCCGTCCTCTCTCTAGTTGCCCTCCTGACCACCCCACTGATAGCCAGTGGCGTAGAAAACCTTTCTCTCATCCTTCCCTTCTTGATATGGTCGTTCTCTTGTTCAATAACTTACAAGAACTCCAGACTTCAGTGCTCATTACATTTATGAAATACTTGATCTGGGGAAGACTGATTTAATCTCAGTTTTTACATGAAAGTGGGAGATAAAGCAATTAATTTATTCTTCTATATTCCATTTTGCTCAGATGATTTCCCATGTTTATGTCCTCTCTTAAATATATTGAAAATCTCGGTCTGTCTCCTCCTTTTCTAAAGACTGATTGACCTATTTCCGTGGGCTAAGTTTTTAGCTCTGTGTGAAAACTTGATGTTCCTAGGCTAGAAAAATGCAAATGATCCCATAATTTCAGGCAGAAATTAGTATCTAAAGAATCTGGCATGGAGTAAACACCTTTCTACCACATTTCAGCAGTCACAGAGGCTGAATATTTTTCTGAATTCTACCTGTGCATTGATGCTGAGGGGCTCGCTACCTTGGAAACTGTAAGAATGTCTTAAAGGGAATGAGTATTTTCCCCACATATAATATGAGCTGCTTAATGCACTGTCTTATTCTTAGCCTATCAAGTACAAACCAAATGTTTTCAGACATGCATTAGCAGTGGTTTGTCAACATCTTTGGCAGAGTTGTACCTATTTTTTTGTTGTTCTCCTCCAGGGCTTTCTTCCACTTGCATTTCTTGAAGCAAATTCATTCTGATTGTTCAGCTAGGTTAGCTTTCCAAGATCCATCTTTCCAAAAGAAAGATTGGTTCCACAGACCATTGAGTGCATAGGGAAATTACTCTGTACCCTCTGTGCCATGGATCATAGATGTTTAGGAATCAACAACTCTCTGGGAACTTTTGTGTTGGATGTTGAATTCCATTTTCTCTCTGTGATATGTATAAAAAGGGAGATACAGCATGCCAAAATTGCACTTCTCTTCCCAATGAGAGACTAGATGGACATTTGAAAATCTTTACATTTTAGGTGTATTTTCATGAACTAGCAACAGTTCCTCTTTTTCCCCTTTCTTGCCAGCTTGTCTCTAGATATAATCTTATTTCTTCATTTGTATGACCATAAACGCATAAAGAGGCAGTCTGAGCCCCAGAGACTGTGTTCTGCATGATCCTCGAAAGGCATCCATTCCCACTGGAAACAAATCCAAGAGTAAGGGAAAAAGTCAAGTAACAGTTCTGTTGGCCTGTCGTAAGATTTTGGAGTCTACCAAGGGAGTAAGTCTATTCCAAAATCAGGAGTTAATAATCCTGCAGTTCTATAGTTTCCCAAGACAAATAATGTGACCTACTGTCAACTGTAGGATCTTTGAAGAGTATGCTCCTTAAGAAAAAGAACTTCCCTTTAAGGTAACAATTTAAGGTACTCCTAAAGAGGCAGAAACTTTTAAAATTAGAAACTGGATAATTTTTAAGAATCATTAGAGAAAGCATGTCATCAATTCATCATAGTCCTTTCCTTTCCCTGAGTTTTAATGTAGACTAGCATGGGGAAGCAGGGTGTCCTTGGACTTTGATTCAGAGGATCGTGATTTGGCCCAGGAAATAAGCACCGGCCTGCATGCCCAGAACCTAAATGAAATCATCCCGCATCCTAATGTGAATCAGACCTAACAGAAATAAATGTAAATTATTTCAAAACCTTTAAGGTTTAATTTTTTTAAACACCCTGGATTTTGCTTCCTAAAATGCACTTGGTCCATGTGGTTGTCTTCATGTGGCCTTGTCAGATTCCAAGCAATGGATGACAAAGACGGGAAGAAAAGAAATTTATGCAAGGCCAATGCAATTTTTGCCAATGTAATGCATCATTAGGAAGCTGATGATTCTTGCCGTGGTGGTATTGTGGGCAACTTTTCAATGGAAATTCAAGGAATCTGTATTGGGCAAATGTGAGTGTCTAGTAACTGCTTTTGGTTAGCACCACACAATCTGATGGACAAGCAGGTAACCCAGTGAAATGTGTCTGTGTCTGGGTAACTTAATTCATTTCAGGTTTGCTTTCATAAAGTTGCTTGTCCATGGACTATCTCCTTTTTTTTTTAATGCTTGTCCAGAAGTCATTTTGGCATCTAGCTTCATTTTGCTTTTCTCCTCTCAATACTTCTGCTTAAGCCTCTGCTTTCTTAACATCCTACAGCTATGTTTTCCTTATTTTTACTGTAGTTTTTCCTGTGCCCAACCTTTTGCACCGCTCTGCATCACAGGCAATTGAACTCCACCCTTACTCCATCCTCTTGGACTCAATGGTCCATTCCCCTGCTGTTTGGATAGGGAGCTCCACTGTCATCAAGGAGCCCACGTGAAACACACTGCTGTGACAGCCTCTTGTTAATGTCAGCATTACTTCATCATTTAGGCAAAGGGGAAAATCCATAAAAATCATGGAAAAATGCATTTCTCTTTCATTTAAGTCTCTCTTTTTTCATTATTTTAAGGAGTCTGGGGAAAGCAGGCAGTCTAATCCTCCTCCATTTCTCATGGGTTTTACTTTATCTGATTAGGAGCTGTTCTTTTTAGTCTTCAGCTATTTGATACGTAAGACGAAATTTTTGGATCTCATGTAACTCTGTGCTGCTGAACAAATTGACTTAGTTCTCTGCAAATATTTTGAATCTAAGGCTTTATATGTTGTCACACCATTCTTGCTACTCATGATTCAAACACCAACCCTAGACTAAAGCAGGATATTGACACTTTGTGGCTATCTTCCGATTAATAGTAACTTACACTCTTGAAAGCACTGTAGAAAAGTGTAAGCATGACCTGTATTGTCAACTGTATGACCTGGTAAAAAGGTTGACTTTTCTGTTTAATTGGGTGTTATACCAATCTGTAGATCCAATCTTAAAGGAATTTAAGCAATAATGATGACAGTTTGGGAAAGGAGAAGGCACTTTGAAGACATGAAACTTTACATGCTTTTGGGTATTTTTAAACCTAATAAGCTAATTGGATTCAG